AAATTCCTTAAGTGCCCCATCTTCGAAGAGCGCAACCTTATCGTAGGCGAATATGTTCTCGTATCGGTGCACGATTGAAAGAACGGTACAATGGTTGAAATGACTAGCAACGATGCCTTCCATGAGCGATTGGGTAGAATGATCGACTCTAGAGACAGAAGTTAATTTGTGTAAGCATTTTTCCGCGAAGGCCCCTAATAGGACAAGGAAAAAAAAAAAAAAAATAAAAGAAAGAAAGAAAGAAAAAGAAGAAAAAAGAGAAAAAAAAAGAAATCTAGGGTTGGGAAGGAATATGGGCAACACACCGACTCATGGCTTCATCAAGGATTAGAACCACGCTCTTCCTCGCCATACTGCGCGCAAGTGCCAGCAACTGCCCTTGCCCGGCCGACCATAATTCCGGCTTTATATCAGCGTCCAGTCCGCCCATCTTCTGAACAATAGCAGACAAATGGGTGGCTTCGAGGACGCCTTCCAGGGCGGACTCCGACAGTGTCTCATCAGGATCGATGTTGAGCCGGATGGTTCCGGGCAGAAAGCAAGGGTCTTGGGGCACGACGCTCAGATGCTTGAGGATATCCTGTGAAGAGACATTGATGATGTCGACCCCGTCAATTCGAACAGCGCCGCTTTGTATGGGAAGCAATCCACCAAGGCAGAGCACAAGGGATGACTTGCCACTTCCCGAGCGTCCGCAGATGGCGACTTTATCCCCTGGCTCGATGCGCATCGAGACTGATTTGAGAACGGGATGAGATCTGTTATCTACGGGTCAGGCATCCATGCTTGCGGGCTACCGGCGGGCCACACATCGAATCGAACAATATGCGCGAATGCAGGATAAGTGATTACATACCTGTAAGCTGCGACGACCTTATCGACTTCAATTGCCCCATGACTAGGCCATGTAACCTTCTCATTTAGGGACAAGGAGTCAGCATCGAAACGTTTACTTTGCTCTTCCGACGGCACGGTCTCCGCGAAGCTTTTAATCCGGGAGACCGCCCCAAGGCATGATTCGGTCAGCGACCAGAATTTGAGCAAGCGTGCTAAAGACTGCGTAAAGCTCATGAGGGTCACAATTGCTGTCCCAGATGAGCCGGAATTGAACGAATCTCTGGTAAAGACGATGAGGAACATGAGAAGAACAACCAGTCCACTTGCTAACAGATCCATAGCGAGGGTCAACCATTGTTGGATCATGAAAAGGGTATAGACACATTTCTGTGAGTTATCCACAAGAAGGAGGTTGTTCCTCTCAAACCACCGTTGTCGGCGAAAGGCACGGATGGTAGATATACCGCTCAATGTCTCCGAAAGATGTTGATACAATGGAGCTTTGGTTTCGATGCTGAGAAGGCGCACTTGTCGAGATGTTCGGAGGTAGTACCTCTGAAGACAGTAGCATACTATCAAAAGAGGTGGGACTGTGAGTGACATGTACTTCGCTACGACGAACAGTATGATCATCTTCAGCAAACAAGCCCCCAGCGCTTCGACACTTGTAGTGTTAACATACGAGCAGTTCAAGATACTTCGAAAACAAAATGATTATCAGCACACCAACATACCTTTTGTTGTGTTAATGGCGGCAAGCGGTAATGTCATGTCAGTAAGTTCTAAGTCTTGGTTGAAACTGGAAGTGCAAGCGTTTGATCAGTAGCTGCGACTCTTAGGGCCCCCTAAGCGAGACTTACCGATTCAAAATGTCGCCTGAATTAGCCTCACTAAGCCAGAAGAGCGGAGCACTAGCCATTCGTCAGCGAATGGCTCACCATACTCCGAGGCGCAGGAACTGCAGAGGTGTGTCGTACCGCAAAAGAGCGCTTAGCATGGATAGATGTAGACGTTCTGCAGTGTTGGATATCATGTGAAGAAGGTAAATCCTGTAGCCGGTTATTGTCAGGTAATCCGTAGCATGTGCATGAGTTGGAGATATACCATGAGCTGGCAGCGCCGATAACAACAGCACCTAGCCCAAGAGCAATGAAAACGCCCAAGTACATCCAATGTGGCCTGTTTGGGCTTTCAGTACTGGCCTCTGACCACCACTTGAGCCAGAGTGCTGGGACCGCTCAATCAGCTTTGGTTCAGGTACTACGTCGGTTTGGGAGTTAAGGACTGATCTCACTTGGAAAATTTTGGCAGAACGCAAAGACAAGGACAAGGACCGCGTAAAGAACTGAAAGCCCCAAGCCTGCAGACTTCAGATAATATAGATAAACAGAGCGATCTTTGACCGGCCGCGAGTCCCCCTGCTTTGTATCGAGTACGTCACCATTGGAGGATATGTTAGCGTCGAAAGATTGAGAAGGCTGCTGTTCTGGCGAGGCCAGTTGTTCGAACTCGTGGTCGTCAGGAAACGAAATTTGATGACCAGAAGAGGGTGTCGAAGGGGGAGACGGCTTGTATGTCACCACTGTACCCTCTCTCAGAAGGTGAATCTCATCTGCAAAGGCCGCTACTTTGGCTATGTAGGAAAGTCAGCCTAGGTAGCAGATTAAAGGCCGTTGAGTACAGGAACAAACCATTATTTGTCGATAGGATAACAGTAATGCCCCTGCACCGCAGGTAACCTGTATGCCTGTCCAGTAGTCTTTCACAAATACTATTTATATTGGCCGCATCAAGTCCGCTGAAGATGTCGTCAAGGACCACCATCTTACAACCAGAATAAAGGGCACGAGCAAGGGCCTAGGTTAAAATATTACTGTTAGTGGAAGAGAACACCTGAATCAACATACAGTAGCATCTTACCAGGCGTTGTTTCTGCCCTCCACTGAGCATGAACCCCTGCCCTCCGATTCGGGTAAAGTCTCGTTCTGGCAGAGCTTGAACCTCCTCGGTCAAACAGCACAGCCAGAGTACGTGACGGTACCAGTCCGGTTGAAAGTCGAGCGGGCCAACGATGTTACCCCGGATACTGGTATCCACCAGCCAGGGGGTCTGGGCGCAGTATGCAATGGGCATAGATGCTATTGATACACGGCCGCTACTTACAACGGTCTCACCTAGCACAGTCTCCAGTAGCATCGTCTTTCCGGTGCCTATTGGCCCCATGACCGCGGCAAAGGAGCCTTCTGGCACGCTCAAGTCCACACAGCAGAGCACATCGCATCCTGAAGGTTCCCACCTTATGAAAGCATCTCTGCATTCCACAATGGTTCCCCTATTTGGATCCAATACACCGCTACTATCACTGTCAAGTCGGGTCTTCGATGCATTGTGTAGCGCGATATAATCTTGAATTCGACTGAAAGAGCCAAGACATTGGACGATAGCTGGTAACGTTTGTATGAAGGTCCAGACTGGCATCGTAATGAGTGTCATTAAGGACAATGCCGTAAATGCCTGAGAGGAATTCAAAGAGTAAATCTTTGTTGTGAATGAAAATATCGTGAATAATGTGAACGAGGCTGCCGGAGCAGCAAGCCACGGGAAGCTGGCTGTAGATGATATGTCAGCAGAGCGTTTTTGCAATCAAACCAAACATGCGGAGGTTATTGAGAAGCCGATGACAAGAGATGAATTATTATCTGCAGCAGTGGAAGAACGCTTACAGATAAGAACTTCCCAAAATATCAGTATGCGAAATTTACGCGAAGTGGCGATCTCGGTAGAACGAAATCCAGCGATGACTGCCTCGACTCGATTACAAAGTCCAAGTACTTTGAATGATTTTATGCTGCTTAAGGCTTGCCTGGTAGCATGCATTCTGAGCTCGACCTTTGTAATCCATGCACGCTGGGCTCTATTCTTGGACTTCGAGACTTTGGTTATTATCGATATGCATCCTGGTATGCGTCAGAGGCAAAGCTAATGAGGTACTGTATTGAAAATACATACCCAGGGAGAGGATGACGGGTACGATGCATGACACCGCAAGCTGGCGTTCTAATAGCCACAGTGCCAGTCCAATGTCAATAGGGGATGCCCATATCTCATGTATGTCACGTAAGCTAGTTGAAATACGCTCCACGTCTGTACCAATCAGTGTGATAGCCGTGTCAGTGCCCATATTGCCGGATCGTCGTGTTAGGGTCTGCGCATAGACTGCCGCAAGAAGACTGCCACGAATACTAATAATGAACTGATACGTCTGTCGACTATAGAACGCCGTGGATACCTGAGACACGTTAAGATTGGAATATGAATCGTGCGAAGCAACAATCATATCCATTGTCCACTCACAGCAAGACCAATATATACAATCCCTGAAGCTGCTATCAACCCATACCCCTTGTTTCTTGTCTCTTGACTTTCTGGAAGTGCTGCGTACGTGGTAATTTCACTGACCAAAAGGGGCTGCATAATAGTAAACGCCGAGAGACAAAGCCGAGGGATGACTGCCCTGAAAAAGGCCATCTTGTACGTCCGTAGGAGTGTGATTGGCAATTGATTTCCTTTGGATTGATCGGCTACTAAACAGGATCATGAGCTTTAATGTCCATAGCGAGTGCAGGTGCCATGTAGGGCTCAGTGGGTAAGCATACCTTTTTCCCAAAACCTCTGTAACTGCTTCTTTAGCCGCAAGCTCGTTAACTCCAGGGCAACAGGGGGGACATCTGGTAAGCCCAAGGGGCGGGTAAACCCTTTCTGCAATACCGGAAGAACCCATGTTAACAGTCCCAGGCCGAAAAGACCACTTGTCTCCTCGAGGGTTGTCTGTCGATATCTTGATGCATCCTGTGAGTTGTCCTTTTTTACGGATTCTGAGATAAGCAAAATAAGGTGAGCGGCTAGCACAGTACTGCATAGGGCTGTTATGCAGGACGAATTAGATGCCAACCAGAACGAACGGATAATAACACCATCAAATAGCACCACCAGAAAAAGATAGATGTTGATTAGAAGTGGTGGTCGCAGTGTCCGATTATGCTCCAAGTATGATAGCCACAGTGCTACACAAGTTCCAGAAATTCGCAACAATTGGGCAGCCAAGCTTGCCGAGGTCTTGAGAACGGCTAATCGTTGACGGAACACGAGCAAAGCAACCTCGATTGAAAATAGAGTGAGATATAATGTCTGCATCTTGTTAGCAAGAGAGCCTATATCCAAGGTCGCCATTTCGCGACTGACCGAACTGTAGAGAACTCTATAGGCCCTGATAATTATAATTGGTTTCCGGTACAACTGCAACGCCCGGATGATGCCTAAGATAAGAAAGATGGAAGAAGGAACACAAACTAGAAAGACATCCTCGAAAAGCAAGGTAAAATCAAATGATCGGCATTGTGTTGCTACCACGGGGCCGAAGGAGGCATCGCTAGCCTGGCAAACGCTTTGAATTCCCATAGCGACAACTGCTAGAAACGGATTATTAGGTATGTAGGATGGGGTTACAGTAAATAGTCACAGCCCCAAGGTATCGGCGATGTTCCGACTTCGGCGCTCAATACTTGCCGGTCAAGTGAGGCGATGATGCTCATCAGGCTAATCTCAGCCTTGCCTCAAGTACGAGATTACGCAGATCTTCGACCCTGAAAAGGTAGCTGCTCGTGTGCCCCAACGCCTTACTCTTCAGATCTGTGGACTGAATATCGCGCAATCATCCTTCAGGGTTTGCAACAGACTACGCCCGTGTGTGCGGGAGGGCCCGCGGGCGGAGCGGCACGATCCCAGCCAATCATGCCCTATATGGGATACTTGAGTGGCATGGCTTATATGGGGGCGATTTTTCGGCGACACCGATCTAGAACCCGCATGAGGGTGTTATCCAACATAAGCATCTGCTGCTGCAGGCCTAAATCTCATGCCAGAAGCAAAGAAGAGGCATGGGTGGGAAATAACGCCATTAGGACAAGCGATCTCGTCATGTTCCTGAGGATTGCCGATCAGTCAAGTCAGACGGCTGGACCCCTGCTTTCCACTGAGCGATAGACGGGAGCTTGAATTGGCAAGTATGGAATTGCCGAACTACTTAAGAACGATGAGTGTCACTTGAATTGTTGCTATTCAGCGCCCACCCGTCTTTTCATCATCCATTGTGACAAAGTAACAGGGTAAAATTATGCCTCATTCAGAAGCCTCTCGGGAGGGTATGGAAACCACTGCCAACGTTACGAGCGGCGCTCATGGAGTACGTATACCCTGCATGTTTGTTTCAGAGAGTATACTAATCGCCAATCCAGAAGCAAACCCAGATCCGGGTCCTAGTTGCTTGCCCTCGTTCGGGTTCCACACTCTTCATGCGAATCTTTCGCGAACTCCCTCGCTGTGCAGTTACGAGTCGCTTGATTCTGCAAGGAAATTATCACAAATTCAGCGACCAGACTCTAGCTCGAATCAAGCCAGACTATACTACTTTCTCTCATCCTGAAGCCCACCCGGTCTATCAAGAAGCGGTGTCAGAAGGCTTTACCACACTAGTCACCAAAGAGGAATTGGGTCACGAATTCTTCAAGGGCGAATGTGACTTCAACGTACTTCCCAATCGAAACGCCTACGAGAAAACGCGGCCCGCTTTTCTCGTCCGGGATCCTGTGCGAGTGTTTGATAGTTGGAAAAATATGGGTTGGGGTGATCTATACAGCTTCTTCATTTGTTATCGGTCACTCTTCAAAATGCTCACGGCCAGCCCAACACCTCAGGTTATCCTGTATGAGCAATTGGTGGCCAATCCCAGGGACACAGTAACCACACTGGCAAAGTACTGGGGCATTGAATACGATGATGGCTGTTTGGAGTTTAGGCAACCTTTTGGGGATTATCTATTCAACGGGTACCGAGAGCAATCGATCTATCAGGGTGCCGTTCCTGACGGGCTCTTCAATCGCGTCAAGTCTCATACCCACGTTGAGGACTTCCACGGCCACGGGCTGCTATCCGCACTTGAAATTGAACATATCGAAGCCGAAGTAGGTGGCCTGTACCTGGAGGCCTATGGCCCCCAGCTAGATCCCATATCAAGTCTTCTCTCTGGAAAGACGTGGTTTGGCTTCGATCTCGACGATACACTGCACGAGTTTCGCAAAGCATCTGCTCATGCCTCCCATGCTGTCTTCGCCGCAATTCGAGCCAACCATCCGGAGACCAACAACACAATCGATGATCTTCAGGCCACCTATCGTGACATCCTTCGTTCAAACACTGCAAATGCGTTCACAGATGGGAAATCATCCGAAGATTATCGCAGCGACAGGTTTAGATGTCTTCTCGAAGCCCATGGGCATACGTCTTCTCGGGTAGAAGTGGAAGAGTTGTTGGCAGTATACAAGAGCAGCCTCCGTGCCGCCCTGACACTGAAGGCCGGGGCACTTCGTCTCCTACAGAAGCTCAAGTCTCATGGTAAGAAGGTTATTGTCGTCACCGAGGGACCGCAAGATGCACAAGAATGGACGATGTCAGAGCTTGGGTTACAGGAATTGATCGATATCCTCGTCACTACCAATGAGGTCGGAGTGTCCAAGGTAGATGGTCTGTTTTCTGCGGTCCTAGAAAAGCACAGCATTGTCCCAACTGATATGGTATACGTGGGGGACAGCGAACAGCGCGACATTGAACCAGCGCGGGCCGCCGGGATAGACACTGTGCTGTATGATGAGAAGAGCAACTGCCGGCTTCAGGACCCTCACGACCTGCGGCTAAACTCGCTCCCAAAACTGGAGTATCTGATGGCCCGTTCTTGGGCTGCCTGAGTTGTGGTCTCTGAGTAATCTTCATTAACAAAGTGATTCTTTGATGTTAAGAGACTACTCGAGTCGACAACATGTTTGTATATGTTGGAAGTGTTGACTGTAAAATGTGTGCATCTTGGATTTCGATTATTTTTCGGATAAAACTGAGGCGACAGCTGTGGGTGGTTACATTCACTAGCTATATGCTCTTCGTACAAAATATAGCTAATTTAGGTAAGAAGAAGCATCGAGGGAAAAAAAGAAATGGAAATTTGAGCGCGGTAAGGAAATATTTACCAATAAGTGACTTACAGAGTATTTATTAGAATTATGGTTGAGGCTATACTTTGAGAGGCTATATGAGGAGCAAATAGTAGGTGTTTCTGTGGGTAAAGGAATAAAGATGGTAAAGATTTTCGACTAGAAGAGGCGCACTCTTATCAGCGTCCCAAGTATCATGTGGCCTCCGATTTAAACCAACAATGAATCACGAATTTCAAAAATGTCAATCGACGAAATGACACCGAACTTCGTACGGGGTCAACTGGGGCTTGTTAAATCTAAACAGGCCAAGATCGATAGGGCTCATTTCTATTCACCGCAATTTCTGAACGGTAAGGCCCCGGGGATTAGGGATGTAAGCATTTTTCTGCCTACGTCAAGGTTTCAACTTGTAACTTGATTGAACAACTGTTCATATAGATGGGATAAAATTATTCAAACAGATGGGATAGGAATCAGCTCACTAGCCACATTGTCAGTCTGAAAGAGATATTTTCCAGTTTCAGACCGCCGCACCCAACACCTCACTACTTCTTCATACACTCCTATTCTATGTATTCGAATAAGCAGGATCATGCATCTAAATATAGATTGCTGGCCCTCTTTTACAAAGAATGAACTGTTTAGTAGTTGCGATCTTTATATAACGAGTGTAAGATGTGCTATATCTAGTAGCATATCCTACGACTTGTCTAGAACCTTATCTTCTATTCAGTAGCTTCTAAGCGGGCATCTTTATTGCTCTGTGGTTCAGTCACTACGAAACGATTAGTTATTCCTTCTCTGGCTTACTAATAATTTCAGGTCTCCTAGATATTCATTTCCTAGAGTGCTGTAATCTGACCGTAACCTGGCGGGCAAGTGAAAGTTTAGAAATTCATTAACCGTCATATAGATACTTTACTCTGTACACTGTGATACCCGACGTAGATTGGACATCAAATGGAGGAGGAAAAACTAAATAAACAAAATTAAAATAAAAACAAAAATAAAAATCAATGAATAAAGAAATGCGCAGTAAACGACATGGAGGGCGATTTGTGGTATCGAAAAATGGGAGAGGTGCCGGAACATTGCCCTTCTTGGCCTTCATTCTGACCATTACCCCTCCCCAGTCTTTCGGGAATGAATGCCATTGACGGATGAACCTGCTTGATGTGAACCAGTTTAGTGGCTAGCCATTAGAAGGTTTTAGCACCCCGCTATCGAGACAAGCGAGGTTCTGCAGAAGTTATTTTTGCAGCATCAGCTGCACTAGACCTGCACGGGTAATGTAGTCCGACAAGGTCTAACATGGCCGTTAGTACCGGACGACTTGATTAGTGCCCTCCCCCAAGGCCCCGTTACGAGCCCCCTTACAGACGTCCGCTAGCATCCGCGTTTGCCATGGCTGAAACGTTGCCCCTGGCCTAGTCCACTAATTTCATTCCATGTTATGGTGATGAGATTGGGATCTTTAACAATTATGGCTTTCTTCGGTGGATAATATAATGTATCAATCCTGTGTAGTGCTATGGGAATCCTTCGACCGCAACTCTTGTCATTACCATTGATGAAGAGAAACTATGATTTACTAGCAACAAACATGGTTCCACAATTCTTGAACAAGCATTTAGGTTCCCGCTGGCTATTCTCCGTTGCACTGGCTGTTCCTGCGCACGGTGCAACGTTTATCTCCACCAATGATTACCCTCAAAAGGCCCATGGCTGCAGCCACCCAGATAACTTGTGTACACCTAACAAGTACTGTGAATGGTAGGAATCTCTTCATGTATGGTCGGCTGAATTTGTGGTCGGTTTCCGGCGCCAGGATCAAGTCCGGTCTTTCCACTACGGACATAGACCCGCCACCAAAACGTCCATAGCGGCCTCGCTTCGTCAACGCCCTTTATGTTTACCCCTGACATCCAGTAAAGATAGCTCCCCGTAAGAATATAAAGGGTCGAATATCATGTCTCTAAAAACCTCTCTGGGTATTCCTTGTCATCACTTTTTTTGATTACAGATCTCTTATTCTGTTCGCTCTTCGCCTGATATAACAATGGTCCGTCAACTTATCTTAATCGGTGGCCTGCTGGCAGCTGTTGCTGTGCATGCGGCGCCTGCCGAACCCGCTCATCCCATGGTTACGGAAGCTCCTGACGCCAATTTGGTCGAAACGCGAGCGACAACTTGCACCTTCTCGGGGTCCGAAGGTGCCTCCAAGGCCAGCAAGTCGAAAACTTCTTGCTCCACCATTTACCTGTCCGACGTGGCCGTCCCATCCGGCACCACCCTTGACCTCACTGATCTTAATGATGGGACCCACGTACGTTATCCTCTTATCTGAGCCGAATCTTGTACCCAAGGCCGTCAAGGGCTCAGGCTGATAGATGTGCCAGGTAATCTTCCAAGGAGAAACCACTTTCGGTTATGAGGAATGGACAGGGCCTCTCGTGAGTGTTTCTGGAACGGATATTACCGTCGAGGGGGAGAGCGGCGCGGTGCTCAATGGTGATGGCAGCCGCTGGTGGGACGGAGAGGGTGGTAATGGCGGTAAAACAAAGCCCAAGTTCTTCTATGCCCATGACTTGACCTCTTCCACCATCAAGAGCATCTACGTTGAGAACTCTCCTGTGCAAGTGTTCAGTATCGATGGCTCCACTGATCTCACCATGACTGATATCACTGTGGATAACACTGACGGTGACACCGACGACCTCGCTGCCAATACGGATGGTTTTGACATCGGGGAAAGCACCTATATCACGATCACCGGTGCTGAGATTTACAACCAGGACGACTGCGTTGCTATCAATTCCGGAGAGGTATGCCCACCCTGGCACTGTGGCGGAGAGAGAGAGGCGTTGCTGACCATCCCGTAGAATATTTATTTCAGCGCCAGTGTTTGTTCCGGGGGTCATGGCCTGTCGATTGGCTCAGTTGGTGGCCGGGATGATAACACCGTCAAAAATGTTACTTTTTATGATGTCAACGTCCTCAAGTCCCAGCAAGGTAAGAGAAACAACTTGAGCAACCCTTCTGGCAATCTCTAACGTGGGCTTTAGCGATCCGTATCAAGACCATCTACGGCGACACTGGCTCCGTCAGCGAAGTTACTTACCATGAGATCGCCTTTTCAGACGCTACAGATTATGGCATTATCATTGAGCAGAACTACGATGACACCTCCAAGACTCCTACTACAGGAGTGCCGATAACAGATTTTGTGCTCGAGAACATCATCGGAACGTGTGAGGATGATGACTGCACAGAAGTATACATTGCCTGTGGTGATGGCAGCTGTTCGGACTGGACCTGGACTGGTGTGAGTGTGACCGGTGGCAAAGTCAGTGACGACTGCCTCAATGTTCCCTCGGGAATTAGCTGCGATTTGTAGGACGGTGTGGTAGGGGAGATATTCCCGGATACTCTGTGGACACATATTTAGCTAGCCCTGTGTAGTGTGTGGCCTATTCATCTACACTTTTCACTGCGTGTAATACCACTTATTTGCCCGAGAAGGGAGCAGTCCATGCTATGGCTTAAATTTTGCCGGTCGGAATCCGAGGTTCTGCGGGATTCGTCGAGGAGCAAAGCGAAATGCTACCAAAGGCCCTCGGTCACATTATGCTGAATGCCTTCATAGATGAGGATAGGCTTAGGAAGTCAAAAGGTACCAATTGTAGCGACCTGGTACACGGTAGAGTCGAAATGGAATGTGGCTGTTATGGCTTGGCTAACGTAGCACATGGCCCGACTTCTCCTGATTAGCAGCCCGCTTAACCTTCGCTTGGCTTTCCTGTGTGGTAGGTCACGATCGGTGTTGTGGCTGTGCGTGCAGTGTTGACAACTTGGTCATTGCAGGCTAAGAATTGAAGGATCGGGAAAATGTACCAACCAAGTAAAGAGGCCGGATCTTGTTTCCCCGTCGCCGATTCCCGAGTGGCAATCACGTGCCATGTCCGTGCACAGGCTGTGACGCCATAGACCCATTGTTCATCTTCCATGATTCCATGGAAATACCTCTGGTGAACATGGAAGGAAGGAATCACTTGGTTTTCTACAGCGATTGAGTTATCTGCATCATTATCGCTCATGTCGTAACTGGTAGTATACCTCGATCAGATGAAAGCACTTTAATATTCATTGTGTAAATATATATATGTTTTTATATGTATATCGTATCTTTTCCATCGGTGCCGAGTCGAGTGTCATCTGGCATTGTCAAAGCACTGTCATGGTTCAATGATGAATCATCGAAGTCCGCGTATCCATGGAATGCAATGCTGGTATAGACTCTCCCAACCAATGAAAGGGTCCCTTGGCCAGTCCGATATTCTGCAATGCTCCAAGAGACCTGAACCCATGGTTACAGGATCTCGGGATAATCTAGGGGCGAGATATCGATTTTCACTACCGCCCTGCTCTTGGCTTTCTTTAATGACCTCAAGCCTTTGCCGCATCAATCTGGACTGTTAATGATAGTCAACTACCAGATGCATGGATTGACATCGGGTTGAACAGTGACCGTCCAAGGCAGCCCAAAACTCGCCGTCCATGACGGTCAACCGCAATGCCGCCGTCCGCGCCGTCCCTGCAGTATTTTTGGCTGTGACTTCCATCACGGTCCTGCTCCGTTGCTATGTCCGGTTAAGGCTGGTAAAAGCCTTTGGATGGGATGATGGCCTCATGGTCCTAGCCATGGTATGTGGCGACCTTGCGACAGCGGATGAGATGGACAAGGCTGACCTCTTCACAGGCCGTCTATGCCATGTTCTGTGGCGTCATGATCGGAGGCAGTCTATACGGCACGGGAAAACATTTCGCTGACTTAACGACAAGCCACCGAGTTACGGCAATGAAGGTGTGTATAATCGTCGTTTTCGGATCACGGTTCCTGTCAACTGACAACCTATTCAGTACTGGTGGCTTTGCGAGATTGGATACTGCTTCTCTTCCATTTTTTGCAAATGTTCAATATGCATCTTTCTCACTCGTATCACCATCAAGCGACCGCACCTGGCATTTCTATACATCATCATGACTTGCACCGTCCTAATGGGGCTTGTGCTCATGTTTTCGCTTTTGCTGCAGTGTCGTCCTGTATCTTATTTCTGGACCAGGGTCGCCTTTGATCCCACTGTGGAGGGAACGTGTGTGAAGACCGAATTAGTTATTGCCCTGACCTGGGCATACAGCGCAGTTGCTGCCTGCTGTGATCTAGCGGTTGGGATTGTTCCATACTTTATCATTCGAAAGTTGAATATGCCGTGGCGGAGAAAAGTGGCTGCGATCGGTATCAGCAGCATCGGTTGCATGTGGGTAGCCTGATATATCTGTCCCGTATCACTTCCAGTCTCACTAACTAAACTGTTGACAGCGCCTGCTGTGCCGTCATTGTTCGCATCCCTTATGTGCCCACATTTGCCGATCCGGACTTCCTTTGTGAGATGCCCTTGCCCTTGCCTCTTTCTCCCTGTTTCGCATATTATACCCCCCTCTCCTTTACGCAAACATTTGAGCCTAATAGAACATAGACGCGACTTATGAGGTGGCCGTTTGGTCTAATGTCGAGGTTGGCCTGGGAATCTTTGCGGGTAGTATGGCCACTCTACATCCGTTACTCAAGCATCTTCGGACATTCTTCACCAAACCTGGAATGACGCGGTTGAGCTCACGCAGCTCGTCCGGGCCGGGGCCCACAGCTCCCAAGGCCGACTTTGTTTCTGTCTCTTCCTACCCATCAGCGCCCGTAACCTTATTTCGCCCGGGGAATGTCGTGAACATGACCACCACTATCCAAGGGGACGGAGCAGGCGTGGCCCACCCTGATTCCTGTTCACCCAGAGCCAGCCGTGACACTGGGAGGCGTACGAATGACATTCTCATCCAACAGACTTTTAACCTGGATACCGGGTGGGACTCTAGGAATAGCAGTGTGGTGTGATAGATCCCAGATTGATCTGGGTTGACAATGTGTACTTTTATCAGCTAAGATGATATGACCAATCAGCTTAATTGGCCGAGTTCCAGGGCCGGTTGGGGGGGAAGTCATACGTCCTTCCTATGGGGAAGTTTCCGTGAAGATAGGCAGGCAGAATAGATCTCAGTGTAGAGTCGTCAGGAATTGTTGTAAAGCTCCCCTGAAGTAGTTCCACCACATCAGCAGACGGCCTTGCTTCACTGGTTGATGGGACCACGTCATGGCAGGGCGGGGTTGGCTGTCGATCCCTCTTCCCCTCACCAGTTGTCCTTCGCACTTCTCATTATTGATCCTCCATCCCATTCACAACAGCAGGATTTTCCACGAATATTATCTAGCGATTGAACGATGGCCGCATATCCTCGCCCCGACTTCCACCGCCCAGCCCTCAATTGGCTTTCCCTCGACGGTTCCTGGGACTTCATCTTCGACGATGCTGACACAGGACTGAACCAACGGTGGCAACAGCAGGGTCTCCCTGCCAAAGAGGCCGCACAATCCAAGCGCCAGATCAATGTACCTTATGCTTTCCAAACCCCGGCATCCGGTATTGGGCTCTACGAGGTTCATGAAGTGCTTTGGTATGAACGAATGGTCCCGGACATACGCACCACAGATGAACAGGCGAAAGGGAACCGACTGATCCTTCGCTTCGGGGCGGTGGACTACGACTGCACTGTCTGGACTGATGGACAGTTGGTCGGTGCTCACCGAGGAGGCCATGTGCCATTTGAGGTAGATGTGTCGGACGCATTTGGTGGCCGAGAAGGTTCGGACGCCCGGCGCCTCACGATTCGCGTCCGCGACTCTGCAACCGACCTCGCTCAGCTGCGAGGGAAACAATACTGGGGACCCGTTCCACAAGAGATCTTCTATACCCCTACCAGTGGCATATGGCTGTCCGTTTGGTTGGAGAGTGTGCCCCGGACGCGGCTGGGAAGTAGCAGTGACGGGACAGTCCTACGGTCGGATGACATTGAAGGGGGCTTTTTACGTGCACGACTAACAGTCCTAGGCCGCCCTGTGGCCGCCGGATGTAGCGTTGAAATTGAAGCTAGTCTCGCAGGGAATCTAGTCACTCGTGGCAGAAAAGAATTGCCGCGTGACAAGGACTGGGTGGACCTTGACATAGACATGCGTGTTCCACAAGTCGAGCCTTTGAAGCAACAGAGCCGGTTCAACATTGATGGTTGTTGGCGAGGTAGTGTAGCCCTCTGGGCGCCGGAGCATCCAATCCTCTATGACCTAACTCTGCGCCTCTACGACGCCTCGGGTAATCAAGTGGATGCAGTCGAGACGACGACGGGCATGCGAAGCGTTTCTTGGACTCATGGCGATGGCACCTTCCGACTGAATGGAAAGCCGTGCTTTCAGACTCTCGTGCTGGACCAAGGATATTGGCCGGAGACAGGTCTGACTCCACCGTCACAAGATGCTCTCCGAGCAGACATTGAAATGGCGAAGAAGATGGGTATCAATGGCTGCCGCAAGCACCAGAAGGTCGAAGACCCCGTGTTTCACTACTGGGCCGATCGGCTCGGGTTCCTCGTTTGGGGTGAGATAGCCAATGCCTACGAGTTTAGCGACGAATATATCTCGCGCTTCAACAGCGAGTGGGTGGAGGCCGTGCGCAGGGATATCAATCACCCGTGCATTGTGGCATGGACCCCGTTCAACGAGAGCTGGGGCTATCCCTCCCTGAAGGACAACATTGACCAGCGCAACCATATCCGCTCAGTTTACTACCTCACCAAGTAAGTTACATTTCTGCCCTATTCTGTAAGTTGGTGCATCGCTCATAGGTTCAGAACGCTGGATCCAACTCGGCCCATCAACGACAATTGCGGTTGGGAACATGTCGCAACCGACCTAACGACTTACCACGACTACTCCGACTTCCCTGCACTGACAGGGACTTGTGCAGACTTCAAAGATGGCATCCTGGGCAAGAAGTCGAACCGCGACATGTTTGTGCCCCCCATCCCGGCCACGCCATCTACTCCTTCCGACCCTGGTGCACAGCATGCCTCCGGGGCCCCCGTCATCTGTTCTGAATTTGGCGGAGTCAATATCATTCCTGCCAAGGGAACCACAGCAGGGGACCGGGACTGGGGATACACCACCGCTAGTGATCCAGAAGATCTGTTGAGTCGCCTGGAAAAGCTAGTTATGGCAGTGGTGAAAGGAGGGCATTCGTGTGGATTGGTCTATACTCAATTGTATGCTTCCTTCCTTCCTTACTGTCTTGTTCATGATTGGTACTTTGCGACCGGGCAAGATATCAAAAGCTGCGTTCATCACTTATAGATGGCTAATATTCTTATAGGTGTGACATTGAACAAGAGGTAAATGGTCTCTATTCGTACGACAGGAGAGAGAAGGTGCCAGCTTCCCGCGTCAAGGCCATTATGGATTCCGCTCACCGCTACTACCACGAGAATGTGGCTCCAAAATAGACAAGGAATCCTTGCTAGAGTTCAGGAAGTGAAGGAAAGGGTGGACGATATGATGATCACCTAGTTGACAGTACTGCTGCCCGGCCGACGGCGATCAATCCTTGCAATCTTTGTATTCAATGACACCTGAGTCGCTGGTGGTTATTACGAGCCGATAACGGCCACGCATCAATAGACAAGTTTACGGCAAGGGAGACAGCAATGCGACAGGTAAAGAGAGTAATCTATTTTATAACCTGCGAAGAGGATCGTAGCAATCTCAAGTTCAAGCACTTAACCGGCTAGAATTATTGATTGAATTTCTATCTAAACCAAGCGCTCTACGCTTCCTTCTCTGATCCCTTGCCCGCCATGTTCCGAGTTGGAGTCCGCCGTGTATCGGACCGAGATCGCCGTAGTCTTTACAATGCCTCTCGGCGGTGCGCCGTCCTCACTACTGAGGCTGGTATCATCTGCTTCCGCGTAGGGATGGTATTTTCGCATCTCTCTCTTGGCTGCGGCTTCTTCAACACCCAGCATTGGTGGCTGAGTGGTTACCATCTCGAATGCGACCGAGGTATCGCCACGAGGAGCCGAGATCTTGACATGAGATCGACGAGAGTACGATGCGGTGGAATTGGGAATGTACTGGCGACCGGTTGAAGGGTAGGTGGCTCGACGTGATGAGCCCAGCAGACGAGGCAAGTAGGTACTGGCAATGGCCTTGAGACAAGGGGCACATGCAGCCAGAACGGCGACATGGACCTCTACCGCAGAGCTACAGAAGCCAATGGAATAGGTGGCATCGTACACCGGGTGAGCTGGAAAGAAGCCTTGAGCGAGGAGAACTATCCGCCAGACTCCCACCCCGGTTGCTCTGTACTTGATTAGCCATCTGGTCTCCATTCCCCTGGGAGATCATCGCCACTTACACTGCGCCCATGCAGAGCACCACGCAGACAGCAGCCTTCCTTCTTAGTGGCATTTGTAAACCCCAGGTAATTATGATAGGAATCGACAGAACAAGCACGTCGGTGAAGAGGTAAGTTGCCGCCGTCGCCACGTAGAACGCCCCCTGATTGATGCAGGATCCGTTTGAGATGGAAAGGTCATAGACGTAGGCGACCGGACTGCACTGGAAGATATCCACCACTAGGACCGCGATGAATAATGCGACCGTAATGAACATGGTGGACCATATGAGAAGGTTAACGAGCCGCGATTGTGATTCGAGGCGACGCAGAAACACGAGGATGGACAGCTTCACCATTGTGAGGCAAGGATTGTAGATTAGTTGATTCGCAAAGTTCCACTGGTCCAGTCAGTCAATGCCAGCGATACAGGGCGGGGACAGTGACCCCCTACAATGAGTCCTAGCTTGATGTCATAATTCTTTGGGATGTCCCAGATATGAATTCCCACATAGTTTGTCTTAATATCTGCCTTGGTTAACAAGTAGTATAGAACGCATCGTAGTCTAGAGGGTACCTACAATACCAGGAGGTGATTGATTGCCCGATGGCAAGAATCTGTCCAAGTCAGCACCATGTAACATGGATACGAGAAAGGGAACTATACATATCCAACCACAATAAGGGTATCATCTTCTCCTGGTTAGTCAAAATGAGTCACTGAATAAGGGTGTTTCCCACCTGCTCCCAAGCGCGACCGAGTCAAGTAGCGGCTCCAGATTCGCAGCAGCACTGCGATTCCCCCGAGTACGGGGAAGGCCACAACCACGCCCAAGGCAGTCTTCTGGTGACTATCGTCCACCATCTTGGGCGTAGAGACAGACGGTAAAGGCGATCCGTCGACATCGAGGGGTATATTAATTTCTAGATATTGCCCTGCTTAAGGTTATCTGTCGAACCCAAGGCATCTATGCGAACCGGGAATAAGTCCATGGAGCAAGCAAATATCTAAGATACTTCGTAGACCCCTCTGTATGAAACGACGCTACTGCAAGGTTTGAACAATGAAGACTAAATTAGGCATAAAACTACAATCGCATTGTGAGAGATGGTGGTGGATGTCCACCAGTCAAAGCTCGAATAGTATACAGCCCGATATTCTAGTGCTCGGTAGCCATCTGTTGACGGTTAGACTGGAATTAGTTAATAAGCGGAAATTTTTGTCCGACAAGACCCACCTGTGGGATGTCCGACCCTATACCCAGAAAAGCATCGCACGCCAGACCATTGCATATTAGAGTCCAGAGAGGCGTGCACTTGCGGCGGGGGTGCCCGTCGGTTTTCCGGCGGAGATGACGGCCGTTACTGCCCACGAGATGGTAGGTTGGCAGGTCGGAGATGAGACACGGCAAAGATGACAGGGGTATCAACAGAAATAGCCGACTTCCGGGTACATTTCATCCTTAGGTGAATAGAAAGGGAGACTGTGTGCATTATGTAGCCGAGCCCTCATCCGTATTCACTTCTTAGACACTACCAGAGCAACTATCTGCTCCGCCGGAGAGTTTCCCACACCCGGCCACAACAACCCCCCTTCTTCCCTGTTGCATGAAAAGTCGGTACTTTAACCTCATGCAGGAACGATAGTCGTCTGACTAACCGTCATCTTAATGCTTAGTTAACTAGTTAAATACGGGGTATTCAGGCACGGATGATTTTGCGATCACCCTCTTTTGCGGATCGCGGACTCCGCCCATCACCCGGTAGAGAGCGATGGATGGCTATCTTGGAAAAAAGATGCAGATTTCCAAACACCTTTTCCAAGGCGCAATTGTTTTCATCCCCCCCTTAGACCCAGACTGGATACTTCGTGGATCAAGTCCAGCTGTTATGCTTCCAATCTAAGGCAATGTCATTTCCGGGCTGCGCCGGCTTTGCTTGGAAGACCCAGTCGGGGCCTGGCCAACACGTCTCATAGCAGGAAGAGGAGGCACGGGTTTCTTGGGATTGTGGAATCGTGTCTCAGACTAAGTATACTAAATATGCCCAATTCCAGTGCATCGCTTTGCTCGTCTTAAAACCGAGCTGACCGGCTGCCCCCACTGCTCCACAACATCGCGCGGCCGGTGGAGGATAGCTTAATCTAATGCGGGTTGGGGGTCACCACACCACTGGTCGCCGGATGCACTAATGATACTTAGCCCGGGTCGGTTACGATCTAGCGAGATAAACCATCGTGACGGGGCTATTGGTCGCACTGGCTTAAATACTGCTTGCTAGGCAGTGTTTTTGAAACTGCTGTTCTTTGTTGTCTTGATCAATGGCTCCTTCAACTTCGTTCCTCGTGGCGCTCGCCATCGGCACTGCCTCCCAGGCCAGTGCGGCCTCCAAGGCGGTCCCCGTCGCGGCCACAACAGTCCCAACAGCCAACTCTGTGGCCAATGCTCCCTTCTTCGACAGTGAAACTCATCAACTTACAGATGGCGTGCTAGCTCAGCTGCAGTCTACACTGGGCAATTCTACCGCCCTCTTCGAGTTCGGCCGGAATACCTCCATACAGGCCCTCTCATCAGGCGAGTGCAAGGTCTTCCCTAGTGATGCAGCCTGGCCATCCGACTCGACATGGTCACTATTTGACCAGCTGCTGGGCGGCACACTCATCAAGACAGTCCCATTAGCCGCATCTTGTTATCCATCTTGGCCCGAGTACAATAAAACTGAGTGCGACTATGTTTCGGACGACTGGACCATCTCCTACCTCCAGTGAGCCCACCCTGTGATACGCAGACTCCTGGTCTATCCTCACCAGACCTCATTGTATTAACAAAGCTGGATAGTGCAGCAGATCCCGCGTCGGTGATGTGGCCGCTGTTCGAGGGCCGCAGTTGCTTGCCACCCGACCTGACATCCGAATCTTGCACGTTGGGGGGCTACAGCAGCTACGCCGTTAACGTAAGCACGGTAGCGCAAATCCAGCTGTCCGTCAACTTTGCCCGTAATACTGGTTTGCGATTAGTCGCCAAAAATACCGGTCATGACTTCAATGGCAAGTCTACTGGCGCCGGAGCCCTCGGCGTCTGGACGCATCACCTCAAAGACATCGACTATTACGAGGACTATCAGCTTGGCAACTATAGCGGTCCCGCGGTGAAGATGGGTGCTGGTGTTCAGGCGTTCGAAATTTATGAGAAAGCTAACGAGCTTGGCTTCACTGCGGTAGGTGGCGAGGGCAAGACTGTGGGCGTGGCCGGTGGCTACGTGCTTGGAGGAGGTCATTCGCCTATGTCGAGTGTGTACGGATTGGCTGCAGATCAAGTGCTGGCACTGGAGGTAGTCCTTGCTGATGGCCGCTTTGTCACCGTTACCGAGCAATCAGATCCTGATCTCTTCTGGGCCCTCCGTGGTGGAGGTGGTGGTAAGTTAAAGAGCCCCTTGCAACTATGCTGACCGTATCACTGACGTGGACTAGGTACATACGGCATTGTCACCTCCATCATCTCTCGTGTCTACCCCAAAGTGCCTGTCACTGTCTCAACCTTCTCGTTCACTACTGGTACCAATGTCTCGGCTGATGCCTTCTGGGCGGGTGTGAGCGCGTACATGAAACGCTTTCCGGTTAACGCCGATGCTGGAACATACGCCTACTTCTGGGTCATCTCGACGGGAACTGACGCGTTTGAGTTCCTTATGAACCCCTACTTTGCGGTTAATCACACCGTAGCCGAGTTCAACTCTCTGATGCAGCCATGGTTTGAAGAGTTGCATCACTTGGGCATCTCCTTCCAGCCAAACACGACCTACTACGACAACTTCTATGACGCCTGGAACGCGGGCTTCCCGCTAGAGACCGTCGGTTCGGTGACCATGATGACCGGATCCCGACTGTTTCCACGCGCCAATTTCGAGGATCCGGCCCGATTCAACCAGACTGTGGCTGCTTTCCGCTCCACCGTGTCGGCCGGTTACTCCTTGCTGGCCTTTAACCTGAAAGCCGACTTGCTCGATGGAGTTTCCCCAAGCTCGGCCAACCCAGCCTTCCGCAAGACCCTGATGCATGCCATCACGTCGACCAGTTGGTCAAGCAATGCCACCAATGCCGAGATTCTGGAGGAGATGGAACACTTCACCTACGATATCTTGGGAGAGTGGCGGCGCACTTGCCCGGAGGCGGGCGCCTACATGTCCGAGGCGGATGTCATGGAGCCGCACTTCCAGCAGGCATTCTATGGCTCCTACTATGATCGCCTGTATGCCCTGAAGCAAACGTATGATCCTACAGGACTGTTTTACGCACCGACTGGAGTAGGTAGTGAGGACTGGAAGGTGCACAGCTCGGATGGGCTGCCGGATCAGAATGGCCGGTTATGTAAGGTGTGAACGGGATGTATAGAGAGCGGCACTCACTTCTGTCGAGCTCCTTGCCATAGGTCATGTATATATTTTTGGCCTTTCGTAACTTAACAAAAGCGATAAGCATTATATTGCCGAATAGTGGGCCATACTCAACCATGCTCACAAGAATGGCATAGTTTCACTGACTGGGCTCAGTCTTTAGGCTGCGGCAATGTGGCCGGAAGTGAAGAACTGCGACTTGTAAGCTTCCACTACGAGCGGATCCTGCACGGTTGGCCTACGCATAGCAGGATACTGTCTCCGATCTTAAGACAGGCACTTGCGCATACTATTGCGGCCCGCCTAACACCCACCGAACATCGTGACAACGCATCCTCAATATGCTACTGGAGCGTTGTACCGTCTGATGAATGAACAGCTAGCTTCATACTTCAAACAACTCCGTTGGTATTGGATTATGAAAGGCTTTACGCAATCTACTCGGCGCACTGTCTGGTGATATCGCAGGCTAATTTCTCGGCCAAGGCATCTGTCCATGGTAAGCCAGATATAATTAGTAAAGGAGGTTGCGGATTGTAGCTTACAAATTGTAGCCTGCGGGTGACCCGGAGGCAGAAGAGGGAAAATTGAAGCGTCGACTACCCGCAGCCCCTGCACTCCAAACACGCGGCCCTGGGTATCCACCACGGCCATTGGATCGTCAGCAGTTCCCATAGCACACGTGCACGAGGCATGCGAGATGGAATTGGCATTGCGCCTGACAGTGACTTCAATCTCCGAGTCGGTCTCAACTGAATCTCCCGGAAACGCTTCCGGGCCAATGACCACCGGATTGAGGCCACTTGTTTGCCAGAACTGCCGCGCCCGCTTGAGGCCTGCTACCATAACCTCAATGTCTGCCGATGCAGTGAGCCAGTTTGGGTTGATTAGAGGCGGGACGGCAACATCCCTGGAGGTGATTGTCACGTTGCCACGGGACTGCGATATTGCAAGGCCAAACACAATGGAGGCGTAGTTCAAATCATCATCAGGCTCCTGTATTCCATCTTCCCTCCCCCCTCTATACCCTGCCATCAGAACATACTCAATCTCGGGCCAGTCCGACGGATACTGGTCAAGGAACTCTCGGGTATCGTTGGACAACTGCGCCCGCAGATCATGTGGGATTTTTTCCCACGCCAGGGCCTCAATTCCGGGGCTGGTATAGGGTCCAGCTGCCATCTCGTCAAATTGCTGTGCTGCCTCGGCCTGTTTGTCCGGGGAATTCATCGCAGACTCTGTAACCACATTAACAGGGCGCGCCACAAACGACAAGACTTGGTCCTGGAGATTTTGGCCGACGCCTGGCCGGTCAGCTACTACAGGAATACCCAGTGGACTGAGAACCTCAGCAGGCCCAACACCAGATACCATCAGTAATTGTGGTGAGCCAAAGGCCCCTGCGGAGAGAATAATCTCTTTGGTCGCGTTCAACTGGTAGGTAAATCCCCCAGTCTCCACCATCACGGCTGTTGCCCGTTGACCACCATCGAAGAGGATCCGCGTAGCCCGGGTAGACTGATAGACCTGGTAGTTGGGGCGACTCAGGGCACTCCTCAAGAACGCTGTCTCGGATGACTCCCGCAGCATCGTGGAAGCGTTAATGGTTAGCAGAGTATACCCCGAGCCCAGTAGCGTGCCACTCTGGAATCCGGGAATCATTGACAATCCCACACTCTTCATGCCCTGAAGAGCCCACGAAGTAAAGGCCTGGGCGTAGTGGGAGTAGGTCACAGACAGTGGACCCGCGCCAGTGCCCAGCACGCTAGCATCATACCAAGGGGTGGTGTTGGCTAAACGCAGGGACTTATCCGGCGGGGTGAAGTGTAAGCTTTTTTCAAAGAAGGGCAGCAGGTTGTCGAAAGTGAAGCTGTCATCGTTCACCGCATCCGCCCATTTCTGATACGCTCCTTTTGTGCCCTTGTGGAAAACCATTCTATTGCGGGCGGAACTGCCTCCCAGGCACTTACCCTGCGGGTAGTGTACCTGTGCATCGTAAAGTCCCTGTTGCCAACAAATCCGTCAGCGCTTGGCATAACCCATTCTGCCGATTGCCCTGAACTACGTACCTCTTGCGGGGTAGTGACATATCCCCAGTCAATCAAAGGTTGCCAGTCAGATGGGGATGGACCACTGTATTCTCCGGCACTGGCAGGGACCTGGCTTAGATTACCATTGTCAATCTCGTAGAAACCTCCTGCTTCTATGACAGCCACCGAGCCGTTCTGCTGCTCGGCTAGTCGCGTGGCCAGCGTCAAACCCGCGGTTCCACCTCCTACCACGATGTAATCGAACGTTGCATTGGTCCCAGGAACACCGAATGAGGACCCCAGAGGCCTTTGTCCCAGTGCGTGGGCGGAGGCAATTAATACTGCCCCAAAGCTAGCTTTGAGCACAATGCGCATGTTGGATGTTGTATGAATACCTCATGAAGCTTGCAAAGTCAGTGGGGATTCGAAGAGACAGCGCAAATGTCTGGCGACTGCTGTCTCTGCAAGGGCGGAGGGGCCCTGGTGTATAAAGCAATTGTCACTCATTGCTGTGGCGCCTGTGAAGCTCCCGTAAACGGAATGTGGATGTTTGTGCTCGTGTAATTTAACGTCACTTGCTGGAATGTTGGTGAATGATCCGCGGCGGCTTTGCGGTTAGCGTTCCAGTGATAATAATGCCGTGGCTTAGGCAAATGAAAAAGCCGGTATTTGCTGTAAGATGGTACGCAACGGTGATCCATATTTCGGGATACTACTGCTATGCTGAGTAACACGCGTTCAATAGTAGAATTATTATATACACAATGCCTCGAAGCGACGACGGATGGCTGCTTGTGACATCTAACCCGCATATTCCACCTCTTCCTTATCGTGCCACAGCATACTTCATCCACAGTGGGTCCTGCAGCAGGCGTTCCAAGCAGCTCTCTTCCACTCCTACCAACACCTCCATCCCCCCCTCTGGTGGCGCCGGCAACACGAGTTGCAGACCGTTGATGACACCAATGTGAGGGGCTCGCACCGCGCCGATATGGTGGCCCATGAGGGGACCCCATTCCAGTCCATATAACTGGAAGTTGATCCAGGAAGTCTGTACGCAGTTGAACCCAGGGACATCCAGGAATGCCGTGGGCACCAGGCAATCCACATCCTCCAACTGCTCTACGAGTGCGACCAGGTCATCCGTGAACTGCCGGTCGGCGCGGAGTACTTCTTTACGGATCAGGATGGCTAGATCCGCAAGGCTAGCGGAGCCCAGAATGGTGCGAATCGGGAGGGAAACCCCAAGATACTCCAGAAAGCATCCCAGGGTCTCCGGGTGAACAGGCGGATCGGTCCGTAGGCGCCCGTCGATCGCGAGATTGAAAACGGATACGGGATTACATTGGAGGGTATCTAGGGGCCACTGCACAGCCATTACCGTCCTCCAGAGCAGTGCCGATAGGGCGTCATTGGTGGAAATCCAAGTTTGGTCTGAGGTCATGGTCGCATGGGCGGGAGACGCTGCCTCCTTCAGTGCCGTCAGCGCTGCAGGAGAGAAATAGAAGACTTGAGTGCGATGGTTCTGGGCCAGCATCTTGGGAGGTGCTCCGGCCGGCGCAGATGGAAGCAACGTGTACTGCGGATGACTGCCCAGTGAGCCTGGATTACGTCCAGATGCACGCATTGCGCATTCACGATCTTTAAAAGTCGCCTCTGGGAGCTCGATGGGTTCAGGAATGGCCATGCCCTGAGCGCGACGACACTCCTCAGCCCAAACCTTCATCCACACCTGGTATGTCGTGCCGTCACCAACCACATGCAGCACGCACCAATTTAATAGCAGGCCACCGGGGATGAAATTGGCCTGCAAGAGAGATACTGGCAATCGCTCTCCCGGAGTTGGCCATACAGAGCGGCGGCATAGCACGTCGGCATCAAAGAAAGCCACCGGGAACGCCCTCGCCTGAAGCTTTGCGTAGGTAGTCGGAAATTTGCCTGGCGCACGCAGATCTCGGATCACTATCGGCTCGATGTATCCCTCGAAGAGGCGTTGGAGGCGAAGGACACCTCGTTGTGTTGTGCGATGGTCTGGCACCGCCTCGCACGCCATAACCGGTAGCCGGCGAGTGGTGGCCGCATAGCTCACCCGGAGAATCTCAACCACCTGGTCGAGATCATAGTCATCCCCAAGTGGAAAGGGAAATATGTACCGCACATAGCCCTTGGGACCGATACGTTCTAACGCCGTGAGGCTCGGGATGTCGCTCGCTTCAGCTATCGAACCCATTGCAACGCATGAAATGATGCCTCTAAAAGTATGTCGTATAGAAAAGAGGGTTAGAATCCCGACATGCAAGCCAGGTACAGGCACATCATCCTTGCATTAATACCTTTCTCTTGAACAGAACCCCGCAGACGGTTCATGGACTGGGGAAGCAGCGGCGGCACTAAATACATCCCGTTGCGACGACATCAGGCCAGGCTTCCCAATCCGTCAACTGACAGGAGAAAGCGATATCCGGTCGAGAATATGATTGGTCGTGAGGCTCGCTTGGGTTATCTATCACTGGCGAAAACTTGGATTCTTTGCTTAACAGCCGTTTTATCCGACGGGGAGCAGCGGAAGAATTGTGATCGTCGAAACGATCCCTGTAAGCTGTCAGCACTAACGCAAGGCCAACATGCTAAAAGCGACACCGTCGTTTACCCCGATGTGCCAACCATTGACTAGAGTGTTAAGTTGAAAGGAAGCCCCTGCTAGCTTCTTGAGTGCTAGGGGAAAGGAGCAAATAGCGTCTCCCGACCGACCCGACCGATGGCCGTCTGATATAGTCCACGGCAAAACGATAACCCCTTTAATATTTCCTCGGTGCACCCAACTTCAACTTAGCCGCAACATAGAAGCTGATAAAGGGCAACGTATTGCCGTAGCTCATCTTGTTAGTCCAGAAATGCACATGAGGGACTTGGATTCAACTATAGTGGCCATCTTCGGTCAACCTCCTGCCCACATCGATCTAGCTGATAGTCAAGTACGTCGAGACAATGCAGCCGTGATTGTTCTGCTGGTTCTCAGCATAATTGCAGTGGGTCTCCGATTCATCGCGAGACTGGCCGTGCGGAATCCTTTTCGACTGGACGACTGGTTGATTCTGGCGTCCCTGGTGGGTGAACAAGATGAGTCGATCAGCGATGGGTCTTCAAGTGCTAACATCGACATCGCTACTTACCAGGTTTTTGTTGCAGCCACAGCAGGTCTAAGTCTAGCAGGTACAGCGCGAGATACTTCCTATGTCCCAAGATACATCGGCTTCTAAGCACTTGTCATCATTTTAGGCGGTGCATTTGGCGCTGGAAAACATGTATGGACAGTATCTCTGGCCGATGTGTCGACCATCTTCAAGGTAATTTTGTGCGAAGCCTTCAAGATATGATGTGGTAGCTTACCAGGCAGATCCTGTTCACGTACACCTTTATGTATGCTGCCGGATGTTCAGCATATAAACTCTCGATCCTTTTCTTCTACCGCCGGATCTTTGTGATTGTTCACCAGCCCCTCTCCCTCCGAATCTCCATTTTGCTGGGATTTGTGCTCGCGCTCTCATACCCTGTTATTGTCTGGGTGGCCATGGGAAACTGCTGCCAACCGCTGTCCTATTTCTGGAATCAGTTCCAAGGTGCGTCAGGAACGTGCATTGACACTGATACATTCTTTCTCGCGACCGGAATCATCAATATGGTCACCGACTTCATAATTCTTATTATTCCCTTTCCACAAATCGCAAAGCTCCAAATGAACCGCCGGAAGAAGATTGCTGTTTGCCTAATTCTTGCGTTAGGTGGCTTGTGAGTGTGCCGTACTCCCAATTAGGAACGCCCCTAACATACCTTGCAGCGTTTGCGTGGCCAGTGCCGTGCGCATATATGTTCTATATCGATTTACCCAAGCTCATGATATTACTTGGATGATGGGACCGCTGTTTATCTGGTCCAGTATTGAGCCATCCGTAGCTATTGTTTGCGCCTGTCTCCCCCATCTCGGACCACTGGCGCGTCTCACCCGCATTCGGATATTATCCAGTCAAGGAAGCAAAGGCAATCAATTCCCCTTCTCAGAGTCCCCACGGAAGCCTTCACGCCATCATGGAGACCGGGCCCACTTGCAGGCTAGCATAGGACTCAGCCAGCCAAGACGCGTAAGGACGTTAACCTCTACTTGACAGTGGGGATGAATGTCGTAGTCACACCAGATTGGGATGTATACGAGATAGCATCAACAAGGACTAGTGACTAACACGGTGGGGCAATGATAAGAAAGGGTAGAGAGACAAGACTTGCTCTCCTTCCGTCTGTCGTGTCTACCTGAAACACTACCGAAACCGGGCCAAGGGTCTCTGAGCCTCACCCAAAGTCCGATCTACATGTATGTCTCTACTGATTGAGTGACGAAATCAGCATGGTGAAAGCCTAGTTCCGGCGTTCTATGGGTGAGGTATGTTTTCTTCCTGGAACTAGGATTATCGTGGCTCAAGCACGTTTTGGTTTCCCGCTCTGTTTGTCAAGCGCTGCAACTCTCAGCATTCAATTTGCTCGAATTTCTATTATAAACGAGTGTCCGTTAAATATAGAATTAATGGGAGTTAAGGATAGTAATAAAACTTCAACGAATGACAGATGTGCCACCACGTAATGACCATGAACAACATGATGCCTGGAGCACCACCCCCTACAATCCGAGCCACACCACCATGGGTTGCTTATTTACCTCAAGTCGAGTCCTCGGATGCCTTCACCACCACAGGAAAGCTTTCGCTCGCAAGTTGGGCAGAGTCCTCCACCCACACCAGCTTGTAGACATCTTCAGTGTCCGTCTTTGCCGCCCAGAATTGTGCTTCCAGCTGAGTATTATTGTTGTAGACCAGCTGCGATGCAAAGAGGCCAAAGCCCGTGACAACACCATTCACCCCTTTAGCCTGGGCGAAAGGTAGCACGCCGAGACAGTTGTCGCTTTCCGGTCGGATGTACAGGGAACCTGCACGAGTCCCGTTCACGAACGTGCCGTTCACGATCCAGCAGTCGTCCGTGATGGAAGGCAGGTCCCAATACATGGGCGTCAGGTCTGCTGCAGTGTTCTCCGGATTTTGGGCGATGTACAGGAGGCCTAGATTGTCGGTCAGCAGCGGCTAGATGGTACATGACTCCGGAAGCCATACCATCACTGAGCCCGTAAGCGATGGGATAAGCGGAAGAGTTCTGTCCGTAGGCCAACAAAGTGGCATTTGTCTCCGATCCCCGCTTGACATGGGTGCCCCAAGCAGCGCCAAGTCCAGCGTGCAAGGCGATCAGAGGGCAAAGAAAGCTCGTCCACTGCATCATGGGCTGGTGGTAGACTCGGTGTTGGACAGGGAGGTAAGTAAAACTTTGAAGAAAAGAATATGAATGTAACGAATGTGCTTTACGTTTTTCGGCCAGGAAACAAAAACGTCGTTATCATACAATTTTATAAGGGAAACCTTCCCAATTATAGGCTCAGTCCTTGTAGTGGACCCCTAGCCCTTGAATGCCAAGCTTGATAATTCCTAGCATCCTCTAGGTTCTGGTACTCAAACGGAATTCCCGAGTGAGAGTCCGCGGGAAACCGGCAAAAATCTTCGACTGTATACGTGGTCCTCAGGCCATGCTACACGAGCGAAACCTTGTTCGATGCGTGGGTGACGCGCATGCCTGGCCCCAGAATAGGGCTGAATGCCATTGTGTTGGCAGACACGGCAGAGCCGGTGGAAGATGGTAGAACTGCCAGTGCGATGGGGACGGAAAGCTTGGTGCCAAGAGCAGAAAAAAATAGATCTTTTGGGTGGAACCAAACACAACACCAGTGGAGACGGTTGTGTGATGACGTTGCAGAACCACGCGAGCCTGTGGCTGATACCAGCGATTTTGTGGATAGTTCACTGTAGCTCTGCGATCTTGACCCATCTGGTCTGTTCATCCTTGCCCCATGGGGCACTAGTCTCTGCACACTAGCTGGAGATTGTCCCCGGCACCTACCCAGCAGAGCTTGGTCGACTCTCGATCGTCACGGTACAGGGCTCTCAGGGCTCTCAGTGTATCTGAAACTTGAACGTCTTACTCAACCCTGTGCCACCATGTTAGCCCCATATTTGTGGCAGCTGAGAGATCCTCGGGTGCTTCCCGTTGCTAAACTTCCTGGGGCTTCTTACGTACTGCAGGATTAAATGCCTCGAGCGCACCCGCTGGCTCTTCAGATACTGCTATCTAACATTTCTGTCCTACCTTCTCGCTCGAGTTGGTAGGCATAAATCCAACATCGTCAATGTGGCCGCTTATTTATATTTCCGTTATGCTCTGTCCGATTCCACATTTTCCATGGCTCTATCCAATCATAACACGATAATTTGATGCTGAAAGAAATATCATGAATGTTGGTCAACGAGCAACGCAAGCAGGGCTTCTGGCATGCGTGTCGCTGGTGGGCCCTCCTTCATGGCACCCCCGATCGCACCAATACTCAAGCCTAGGAGCTTGATGACCAAAGATAGACTCTCACTATCCCCATGGTGTCTTTAGCTTGCATGGATCGTCGGTGGGGACGCGGATAGGTGGCCCTGGTACCAAAGACCACTGCCGGTACTCTACCACAGAGACGGACCGTGGCCGAGCCCAGGTACCTGGAGGTTGTCCGACAATGCTCAACCATCTCAGAGAAGCATATAAAACTTGACCATTTGGAAGCCGATATGCCACTGCTGCTGAGTATCATTCAGTCCTCATTATTGTGCACTTGTCATTCTTTGATGCTTTAATCCTCTTCCTATACGTTCGCTGTGCCTTTTCATTCAATCCATCCCTTCTTTACTAATTCATTGAGTCGCTCGCTTCTATCTCTTGCACGCGCTACGTTCGCGTTAATGTTAGTATAATGTGGTTTCCTGCCTCTTTTCTTCTGTCGGCCCTTGCTGTACCACGAGTCCTCGGGGCTTCCATTCCGTCCACCTCAAATCCTAAAGGATGCGTCAACAGTCCGACCAACCGGGCCTGCTGGCGAGACGGGTATAACATCTCGACCAACTACTATGAGGAGGTCCCTGATACCGGGGTCACGCGCGAGTACTGGTTCAATGTTGAAAATACCACCGCCGCTCCAGATGGCGTTGAGCTTCCTGTTCAATTGATCAATGGCTCCTTCCCCGGCCCCACGATCATTGCAGACTGGGGGGATACAGTCAGTATGTAGTATTTGCTCGTTCTGTTACTTTGTATTTAGTGACTGACTCTTGGGTTATCTAGTCGTCCATGTCACCAACTCTCTGCAGTCTAATGGAACGGGTCTGCACTTCCACGGGATTCGACAGAACTGGACGGACCAGATGGACGGTGTCCCGAGTATCACGCAGTGCCCCATCGCTCCGGGACAGTCATACACCTACAAATGGCGTGCTGTGGAATATGGAACGGGCTGGTATCACTCCCACTTCTACGTTCAGGCGTGGGATGGTGTGTTTGGTGGAATTCTGATCAATGGCCCTGCCACAGCCAACTACGATGTGGACCTAGGCCACATCTTCTTGAACGATTGGTATCATGTACGCTTTACCCCCTCCTCCTTCCAACTTCAGCCTAAGGCAGACCAAGGGCAGGCCTAATTTTGTCAGAAAACTGCCGACGAACTGGTCCTCCAAGCCGCTACGAGTGGGCCGCCCACTCCTCCCAACGGCCTTATCAATGGGACAAATACTTATGGCAACAACGGTTCGCGTTTCGAGACAACCTTTGATGCGGGTACTAGATACCGCATTCGCCTCGTCAACGCCGCAGCTGACAACCATTTCCGCTTCATGATTGATAACCACACCATGGAAGTGATCGCGGCCGATTTTGTCCCCATTCATCCCTACAACACCACACAACTGAGTATTGGCATGGGTCAGCGCTATGATATCATTGTAACGGCTAAGCAACTGAATAGCGGGAACTTTTGGCTGCGCGCAATCCCCCAGGAGGCCTGCTCCGAGACGGATGCCTTGAACAATATCAAGGGCATCATTCGTTATGACAACTCCTCCACGGCAGACCCAACAACCTCAGCCTGGGCTTATACTGATTCCTGTGCCGATGAGTCCTCCTCTGACCTCATCCCCTACGTAGCCATCAATGCCTCGGACAATTTTGCCTACAGTACAAGTGAAGAGGTTGCAATTGAGGTCGCCTCGAACGCCCTGCTGTGGACCATGAACAAGACCTCCTTCCACACCGAGTGGGATTATCCTACTTTGATGCATGTGGCCAACCACAACTACACCTGGGCAGCCAAGGAGCGCATCATCCATCTCCCCTACCAGGACCAGTGGGTATACCTTGTCGTCCACTCTCCCTTCGCCCAGGACCATCCCATGCACCTGCACGGGCATGACTTCTGGGTTCTGGCTTCGGGTTACGGCGATTTCGACGCAACAAAGACCGACGCCCTGACTTTGGTCAATGCCCCCCGGCGTGATGTGGCGATGATGCCTGCCAGTGGCTACTTGGTCATTGCGATCAAGACCAACAATCCAGGCGTAAGTGCTCACCTTTCTCCCCTTGAGACTGTCTGTTGGCTAATTGAGATACGCAGGCTTGGCTCATGCACTGCCATATCGCCTGGCACACTTCTGAGGGCTTTGCGGTTCAGCTACTGGAGCGAGCCCCAGAGATTATCTACGACTACGAGAAACTGAATGACACCTGCGCCAGCTGGAAGAGCTACGTCGCGGCTCAAGATGTCGTGCAGCACGATTCTGGTGTTTAAAGGGTTGTGGTTGAAAGTGGCCATTTTTGAACGACTGCCAGGAAGTGAACATTCGTTATCATAATCCAACTAATCTTCCAGCTAGTTCATGAGCTTCCATGACTTAGTAGGGGGTGTTGTGTCAGGACTGCCATTCTAATTAACTGGTCTATTCATTAACTTCGTATCATTGCTTTCTCATCGTAGATCTCACCGAGGGTCAGGTGTCCTTAGCACATACCCAAATTACGGTCATAATGAACAATACCCCCCGTTACGTGTTATATACATTACTAAAACAAATTCTACCGATACGCTGACAGATATTGTGCGTAATGTAACGTAAGTAATACATACCATGTATCAAGTTCCCGCATGGGCTGATAATGTTACAAAAATATATATATTTAACAATCGTCCATGTTCACTGCACCTCTGAAACCGCTCCAGTGCCACCAACACAATCGCACTTGATATGTATCTTGGGAACGACGGTATAGAAGAAACATTCTAATTGATCAGCGATCATGGTTCGAAGCCCTCTAAGGCCCCTGGAGTACTCCAGAATGAGTCCCCGCTTCTCAGTTGACTCGATTGCTCTGCTCTCCGTTTCGGACCTCGAGGAGGAAGACTTGATCACACACAGAAGAGCAACCG